TTTGTTGAAGCAGCGCAGAGGTAGCTTCAGGAAGAAAGGGTGCCAAACAGTGAATGAAGGAAGAATGCTAATTCACAGACATCGGGAATGGTTAATGAAGAATCGATGTTCCAGCACTCCGAGCAAATCAACAGATGCTTTGTCTCCCTCAGCAGATACTGCAAGGACTCGACTGTAAATGTTCCAGTAGCTTGTTGGTGATACACATTTGGTCCTCCGGGCCTCTTGAAGTAGTTATGGCTTTTGCTTCGCTTTTTGGATATAATGATCTCCTTCTGTGTTCCTGGGCCCGATTGTGAGGAAAACAAAATTAAAAGCACTGCTTTTCCCAACAAGCACGTAGGAGTCTACTAACTGGAGCTTGCTGCGAAGTCATGGTGCATCTGCCCGCGCAGCAACCAAATGCACACAAATTAGACAGTTTTTATCCCAAATGGCTCCGTATCTCTCCTCAGACTAGCTTGCCGAAAGCGCCGCACAAAGCACAAACATCACAGCTCCGGTGACAATCGCCAGGGGGATCCGTGAACCGAGCGGCGCAGCCGTGAAGCAAACCCACGACCGTCAAAACGCCGCACAAACGGCTTGATCTCTTTGCTATGAAGACCCCTGCAGGCAGATTTATATTTTTGTTTTAAACCTCTGTTGCTCTCCTGTTATCAAGAAGCCGAGAACAGTTTCCATAATCTGGCTCATTTGTGGTTTACAGGTAGGATGCGATAAATGCTGCGCCTTTCTGTCCAACTTAAACGATTTTAGGAAACTCCGTTTTTTTTAAAAAAAAATCTTTTACAACATGTGAGGGGGCAATGGGTCTATTTTCCCCAACCCTCCCCTTAACTTTCCTACAAGGGCCTCCGGAACCCACAATCGGCCAAGCTATAAATACGAATGTTATACAAAATGCGCTCATCCTTTTATGGCCGCGGAATTAGCGCTACCACACGATACGTGTCCCCAGAAAATCTGTCAGTGTATTACAGTAGCGAAGTACAAAAATATATAGCAAAACTTCGGGTCCTGTTCACGTTTCCCGGCCCAACTACACATTACCTGACCTTTCATTCAGACTTTCTCGGACTCTTCCACGTCTAAGGGGTGTCACGTTGTCTTCCATCCCATTACATCAGCCACCCAAGTCGCCTGTTCTATACAACACAGCATTCAACGAACCCAGAACATGTAGAACTGGCCCTAACCCAACCTAAATCCCACCCCTCTTCTACCCAAAGCCTCAGCCTCACGAGAGAGACTTTTCGAAGAAAGCAGTACATCGTGACACCCTCTGATGTAGATCAGACTTCGATTATTTGCTTTTCGTTTAACTGTTAGTTTCTGTTATCCGCCAGTCTAAAAAAAATTCTTGAGTATCAACAAACGAAGACCTCTAAGGCATAGAAAGAGATTACAGAATATTTGAAAGTAACGCAGGTGTGTACTATAACAATACATTTATATCACTGCTACTATCATAATCTTCTTCGTCTTCGCATTCACCGCTGGAACTCCAGCAGAAAGTTATGGTTGTTCGTTCACCTCTGGACTTTGGTCTTGTTCCAGAATCTCAGCGTTGCGTACACATCCGTTTCACATATCTGACTTATTTGTACGTGTTGGTTCCTTGCCTCTCAGACAGATGCACTCTGACTTCGAAGAAAGCCCTCAGTTAGTCGGCTCTTACGACATGCTTGTTGAGAAGGCGCCGGGTCTTTTCTTATTTTCCCCCACAATGGGAACCCGGAACTCACACGGGAATATTTATACACTGATGTTAAAACTGATGGTTTTGTAAAATTAAATACAATATGTATTATGTGTTATTCACGTTTAAGGATAGATTAATTCCCAAACTGAAAATTTTCTTTAAAATTTTGGAATTTTACTTTTTTACATTGTGAGAAAGTTTATTTATTTTTGAACTTTATAATACATTTCTTGTTGTAAAATTTGATCTGATTTTATTTTCTCTTTCGTCCCAAGCCCGCACTAAAATTACGTTACTGTACATATGTATCACGAGATTTCTGTTATTCATCTATTCCAGTGACTCTCAACCTTCCTAATGCCGCGACCCTTTTCTTTGATGTTTGTTTGTTTTAGCATCCAGAAGCCATGAGTTGTTAACCCTTAGGCTCGGTATTATGGATATCGCAACCTTTCGGCCTTGATTCCATTGTAAATACCGTAAATCTGGGAGAAATGTGGCTTTTCTGCCTACCCCTGGGAGTGAACCCGGACCATAAGGAGTTCGTCACCCGCTCACCGGTTTAGCCAACTACGCTAGAGAGACGGATTTTTCTTTGATACATTTCCTTTATGTTGTGGCGACCCGCAAACAATTATTTTCCTTTACAACTTCAAAGAATATGTGTTTCCAGATGGTCTAATGCGACCCATGTGAAAGGGTCGTTCGACCCCCGCAAAAAAGGAGGCGTGACCGGCAGGTTGAGAAAAGCTGATCTATTCGGTTATCCGTGACAGCCCTGGTCCAGACGGTGACGGTTGATCAGTTTTACTGTACTTCCAATAATAAATAGTGGTGCTAGTACTGTACACCAGCTCTTAAGTAAGCAGACGTCAGCTGCCATGGTAACAGGGCACAAACTAGCCAAACGATACTTGGTGCGTGAGCTGAAGAGAAGTGGTTTCGGGACTGCTCGAAACTTAATCTCTGTTGTTAGAGAGCTCTACTGCACGGGAGATAATTGGAGACGAACCTGGTTAACTCCCAGAACTGACGACTACCAAATTATTGATCGGGCAATTACTAATTAGTGGACTTTATAATTTACAGACAGTCGTGGTCCACCACGGATCGATACACCACCTCACTAGTAAAGCCATCACTGTTCAATCACTACTTTACACAGCTTTGGCCTCCTTCTTCTTCTTTATACCTTCGTCCTTAAACGAGCAGCTGATACGTTGTGTTGTGGATGACAGCTATGCTGCGATATCTGCGCCTTTCAGTCTAACCCGTATAATTTCGGCAAATCAGGCTTGTAAAGGAAACCGAGGAGAGGCGATAAACCAACAATCTGCATAAAAATAAGCCAGATAAGTAAAACGGGAGTGCACGGCAAACTTTGGTTCAGGGACATGACCAAAGTCCAGAAGTAGACGAACAACCACAACTTTCTGCTGGAGTTAACCGCTGGTCAACGCTAAGAATAACAAAAGAAGACAACCCTATAACAAGATATCTGTTAGTACAGGATGCAGAAGAGTGTTCCAGGATTAGGGATTATACCTGTCAAAACTTATCTACACCCTAAAATCACCTTAGAAACCGTTTCCAAGGGCCTCGCATACAGGATCAACGTTTTTTTTTCTAAAGTCAGTGCGCAGCCGACCGAGAGGCAGGAGACCACCAATCTGTGCTCAAATAAGCCACATCTCGAAAAATCGATGAGTGTGCAAAGCTGAGAAAAGACCCATTTCTAGACAACGACGACAACAAGGACGACGAAGAAGAAGAAGGGGGAGGAGGATGGAGAAGAAGAAGAAAAAGAAGAAGAAGAAGAAGAAGAAGAAGAAGAAGAAGAAGAAGAAGAAGAAGAAGAAGAGAAGAAGAAGAAGAAGAAGAGAAGAAGAAGAAAAAGAAGAAGAAGAAGAAGAAGAAGAAGAAGAAGAAGAAGAAGAAGAAGAAGAAGAAGAAGAAGAAGAAGAAGAAGAAGAAACAGAAAAAGGAGAAGAAGAAAAAGGAGGAGAAGAAGAAGAAGAAGAAGAAGAAGAAGAAGAAGAAGAAGAAGAAGAAGAAGAAGAAGAAGAAGAAGAAGAAGAAGAAGAAAAATAAGAAAATAAATAGAAAAAGAAGAAGAAGAAGAAAAACAAAAAGAAGAAGGAGAAGAAGAAGAAGAAGAAGAAGAAGAAGAAGAAGAAGAAGAAGAAGAAGAAGAAGAAGAAGAAGAAGAAGAAGAAGAAGAAGAAGAAAAAGAAGAATAAGAAGAAGAAGAAAAAGAAGAAGAAGAAGAAGAAGAAGAAGAAGAAGAAGAAGAAGAAGAAGAAGAAGAAGAAGAAGAAGAAGAAGAAGAAGAAGAAAAAGAAGAAGAAGAAGAAGAAGAAAAAGAAGAAGAAGACGAAAAAGAAGAAGAAGACGAAACAGAAAAAGAAGAAAAAGAAGAAGAAGAAGAAGAAGAAAAGGAAGAAGAAGAAAAAGAAGAAAAGGAAGAAGAAGAAAAAGAAGAAGAAGAAGAAAAAGAAGAAGAAGAAGAAGAAGAAGAAGAAGAAGAAGAAGAAGAAGAAGAAGAAGAAGAAGAAGAAGAAGAAGAAGAAGAAGAAGAAGAAGAAGAAAAAGAAGAAGAAGAAGAAGACGAAACAGAAAAAGAAGAAGAAGAAGAAGACGAAACAGAAAAAGAAGAAGAAGAAGATGAAACAGAAAAAGAAGAAGAAGAAGAAGACGAAACAGAAAAAGAAGAAGAAGAAGAAGACGAAACAGAAAAAGAAGAAGAAGAAGAAGACGAAACAGAAAAAGAAGAAGACGAAACAGAAAAAGAAGAACAGCCGACCACGAACAACTTGTTATCCCTATCCATTGCCTAGCACATCCACACGAACCATTCGTGCTCCGTCCTCGGATGCAGTAGCCATCTCAGTCTTCATGCTCATCGCACGGGGTATGATGGCTGATTTAGTATATCTTCTTTCTTTGCCTTGCGACCGGTTTCCACATGCTTCTCTTTTAATACCAATTTCCAACAGGTGGTTCATCGCGTCAAATTTTTTTGGTTTCCGTGTTTCTGGGACACAGAGCATTTAGCTTGCGTGCCCTGTCCACACTTCTTCACCCACTACTGCAGACACAGCCGGTCTGTCGGCTCTTTCATTTCCTTACATCCCGGTGTGTCCTGGTGAGTACAGTCAGGATAGTTTCTTGACATGCGACTTCTGGATGCTGTCAATGACAACAACAAACACAACAAAAACATTTATGAGAATACAGTTACATTGCTCGTTGTGCTAAAGATTAAGAGCACAACACTGATGGGTATATCGCTTACCTTTCCAAGCCCACTGTTGAGCATATGTGCCAGCTCGTTGTGATGGATGAGACCCCAGGGAAAACTGTTATCATTCTCATCAATTTCCAGCAAGCGGAAGTTGTCTGGTGCCACGCAGGTGCTCCCGTTGCCTCTGCTGCTAGCCACGCAGTCAACTCCACCACCCTCTTGGCGCTGGCTGCTGCCGTGGTTACCACTCTTACAGTAAGTTGGAATTGCAGCCATCAGGTACATGCCTTGCTCAGGAGCCAGGTCAGGTCTTGGGAGGGCCTCAGAGACAACGCTGTCTCCACTTGTCTCCGGGCGTCAGCTTGATTAACCGGATCATGGCCTTGGGACCAGCTTCAATAGGTGCTACAGGGGCAATAATCAATCAACAGAATGTGCGCTTGTGCCACTTTATTTTCTTCACTGACTTTTACATGTGCCGATGTAAAAATGCACCTGCAAAAATGAAAAAGAAAGAATTTTTTTTAATATATAATACCCGCAAAGAGCAGCATAGCAACAGTGTTTGCACAAGATAAGCATGTTAAATAACACTGAAATAATAGCATCCTCTGTGTGCCACTAGACGACCTCAGGGCTTGCATTTGATTGCTCTATTCTACTCTACTGCATGCAACTCTCTAGATTTATGATAAGCAGCTCAGCCAAGCATTTTAGCCTCTCGTAATAATGTTCTTCTTAACTTGTAATAATGTTCTTCTTAACTTGTAATAATGTTCTTCTTAATGCTTCCCCTTTACGTCCTCTTTTTCTCAGACCGCTTGTTTTCCATTTAAGTGCTTATTTCGTCATTGTTTGCTCATTTCATATCAGAGTGTGCCCAATATATCTCCACCTTTTTTGTCTTACTGTAATCAATACAGGTATTTGTCTAGACATTTTCCTAATGTTCCCACTCTTTTTTATTAGTGCATCCCATTTTTATACTCATGCATCCCATTTTATGTTCATGGTTTCCCATTTTATGTTCATTCATCCCATTTTATGTTCATGGTTTCCCACAAGCATTGGGATTTTTGGTTCTTTACTTTTTATTCGCTCTAGTATTTAGACTTTTGATTTGATTTTACAGTGTCAAACCTTCAATTCTTGTTGGTCTGCCTCCAGTATTGAGACTTCTTAGTTTTACATTGTCAAACCTTCAATTCTTGTTGGTCTGCCTCCAGTATTGAGGCAGTTTAGTTTTACAGTGTCAAACCTTCAGGTCCTGCTGGTCTGCCTCCAGTATTGAGGCAGTTTAGTTTTACAGTGTCAAACCTTCAGGTCCTGTTGGTCTGCCTCCAGTATTGAGACTTTTTAGTTTTAGTGTGAAACCTTCAGGTCCTGCTGGTCTGCCTCCAGTATTGAGGCAGTTTAGTTTTACAGTGTCAAACCTTCAGGTCCTGTTGGTCTGCCTCCAGTATTGAGACTTTTTAGTTTTAGTGTCAAACCTTCAGGTCCTGCTGGTCTGCCTCCAGTATTGAGGGAGTTTAGTTTTACAGTGTCAAACCTTCAGGTCCTGTTGGTCTGCCATTCAGATTAAGATCCTCTGGTCTCATGGTGTCAAACTTCTCAAACAGCAGCCTGGAAAGGAATACGGCACGCATACACGCATAGAGACCACAATCTCTGCCTGGTCCGGACTTCAAATTCCTTTGTAACCGCCTAGCGCCCTAATATAACCCTACGCTTCAATATGGCTTACTAGAACTTGTACAGGTAGGATTCTCATATCTGAGTTGCTAACAGTGTGGACTACGATTCTGCAGGTAATAAACTTCAATGCAAGTGGCAAGTCTTCACAGGAAACCACTTGTCCGGCCACAGCAGACTACTTGTCTAACAAATGCAGACTATTGTCAGGTCACTGCAAACAAGTTGTCTGTCATTAGCAAATGTCCCGTATCCTTCTCTCCATCCTCTCCTCTCTCTCTCTCTCTCTCTCTCTCTCTCTCTCTCTCTCTCTCTCTCTCAAAAACGCCTATTTAGAACTGTGCTGAAGACAACGGTTCAAAGAAGAGCGGATACAAAGGTTCGGGGGAGGCTGAAGACAACAAAGAAGATGATTATCTTACAAAGTCTAAAAACGAGCATCTCAGGAAGCTTGGCACGCGAACACGCTGTGCTATACGAAATACGAATAACCACACACATACCCCCTCACGCGCACACACATACACAGAGAGAGAGAGAGAGAGAGAGAGAGAGAGAGAGAGAGAGAGAGAGAGAGAGAGAGAACAATAAAACATACCAGAGTCAACCAGTGTTAAAAACAAAAGTAACAACAAACAGTTACAAACTCAGAGCGCGGAGGGCAGCTCCAAAAACATCCATGTAATCTCCCGATACAAGATGACATAATCTTCGAATATTTCGTGCTTAAGTCTGGGTGCATCGTTCTACCCACGCTGCCACCTGGCTTCGACCTGTATGCACCGCCTCGGAGGTCAGGCTCTTTAATAAAGGCGGTTAGGTGTCTCTGTGGCAATGGTTCTCAATTTGTTGATGTTCGGGTGACCACCACACCACCCCTACCCCACCCCCCAATCCTGACTGAATATTTGACAAGACTCCCAAAACACACACGCCGTTGGTTTTTCTTGTTTATGATTAAAATAGGGGGTTGGGGGGTTGGGGGGGGGGGGGGGGGGGTTGGTATGTATAAACTATTAGTATAAAAGATACAAGTACAAAGGAACTCATTTAGAAAATCGTTTGACGCTGCCCCCCTCTCCCACCGCCCCCGAAACTTCCTGGCGCCCCAGGTGGAATACCACAGCTCTAGGGTGTCCTCAATACACAGTGACGTCAGATACCGCGGTTAATTGAAGACCTACCAGACAGTTCTGATGACTAAGACGATGACAGCAGGTGTTAAAACGATCACCATTCAATGAACAACACGACACTACCAGCACACGTATGCCGCTTATGGCGTCGGCACATTGGTGGGGGGCGGGGGCGTTTTAGGCATCTAAATCTACCCCCCCCCCCCCGCCCTCTCCCATCCACAGCCGAAAATATCAGCATCTAGTCGCAACGCCAAGGCGGTTACCTACATTGTGTACCTCATATTATTTCAAAAATATTTTTATATTTATTTGCCGTTCATTATTTTTAGTATTATTATTATCATTATTAACATCATTATCATTATTATTATTAACGACATCTTAAATGTTCAGGACCCTTAAGAATCCAATACCACCACACCCCCCCCCCCCCCCTCCCAAAAAAAAGGACCTCAAAGTTTTCTTAATGTGTCAGCGCCTCTTCATGCTATCGTGCTGTGTCTCTGTTCACCACCTCCGTGGGTTGGTTCATCGTCACTGTATCAACACGTGTTGGTGTTGACATGCCCCGACTTGTGCAGCTTCTCACGCGCTCAACAATAACAACCAAAGGTAAATTTTACGCTGGTCTGCCCATTTACACACCGCTACACACAAGCTTGCTTCTGATTAGACGACCTGTTGACCACTTCACTTCTGATAATTCGACTTCGAGAGATCCGACTTTCACACAAGGTCACGGGGATATTCCCGCACTCGCGCTCATACCGCGTGTTGAATATTTCACCATGCCAGAGCCTTTAACGCTTCTAAAACATTTAGATACTGGGTCTAACACACAACCCCCTCTAGAGGTGGACAAAACCTATGTCTCTTTCTCGGAAATAAAAACGTAAATGCCAGACAACAGACTGCGACACCCATAACCTCGAACTCGGTAGACTAGTCCAACCAACATCAATGGAGTTGACCTACAACCGGTGATGTGCTAATTGGAGACAATCGTATAATAACCCATCCACCATATACTGGCGAGGAGAGATTCAGGTGTGGTTGGGGGGGGGGGGGGGGCTGCTCCGTATTACCCCCATCATCAACAAACCATAGAGACCGGTGCAAGAGAACGAGTTTCCTTCTGAACTTTCCTACTAATCTTTTTTTTTTCTTATTCAGCATTCCGAGCCCTAGATGCTCACTGCTGCAGATATCACCCGCCTTAATTCATCTCTCTGGTTGGCTTTCTCTTTCCAGTTGGTAACACCAAGTGTTTGCAGGTCGCTCTGGATATTATCTCTCCATCATCTTCTTGGTCTGCCTCGTGGTCTGTGATCATACCTCTCCCTTGTGTATATAGTTTTTATCTCTCTGTCGTCTGACATTTTATCAATATGCCCCAGCCATTTCAATATCTTAGCTCTCATGATGCCAATGCTCAATGGTGATTTAAACCGATTATGAATTTCGTTGTTGCTTATGACTCTCCATTACCCGCTGTTTACACCTTTGATAGGTCCAAAGATTTGTCGTAACACTCTGTTTTCGAAAACTTGTAATAAGGTTCATCTCTTTTAATTGTGCTTCAAGTTTCCGAGCCATATGAAACGACTGGTCTCTTGTCAACGTTTTATTTACTTTGATCTTCATTCATTCATTCAGTAGCATGTCCCTCGCGGAACCTCGCTGCCATAACAACCCTCCGGAAAACCTTCCTATCATGAGCAAGATGTCCTGCGTCTGATACACCCATCTGGAGATCATCTGCCACATCCTGCACCCATCTTCTCCTTGGCCTTCCTCTTCCTCTCTTCCCAGGCATATACCCCTCCATTATTGTTCTCTCTAGACTTCCATGACGTTTCAAGTGACCAAAATATTTCAATTTTCTTTGTTTTATTGTCTTTACTAGCCAACCCTCTTCAATATTCAGCTCTTGAAGTATGGATGCATTTGTTCTTTTCTTTACCCAAGATATTCTTAGAACCTGTCTGTAACATTTATATTCAAATGCATTTATGCGCTTTTCCGCTTGTTTAGTAAGTGTCCAGGTCTCACAGGCATATGTTGCAATGAGAAAGATGCATGCTCTTAAAAATCTGACCTTTGTAATTCTATCTGTACAATTCCATAATTTATTCAGTTGTTTTAGTCTTTGAAGAGCAATTGATAGTCGCCGTTTAATTTCTTTCATTGTGTCACCATTGTTGGTAACCAGTGACCCAAGATATTCGAAATTTTCCACCACTTCCAATCTTTCCTCATTAACATATATTTCCTTCTCCATGGCAGTTTTGTTTGTATGCATTATCTTTGTTTTTGCTATGTTAAGAAATAGGTTATGATTTTCACTATTTCTTTGGAGTGAGGTTAATAAGTTTTCTAAACCATTTTGTGTTGTTGATAGTAATACTGTATCATCAGCATAACGAATTTCTGGTATTTCATGACCACCGATGT